GAAGTAGATATTTTTTCAAAGAAGTTTCACTATTTCATAAACAAATCATGGGTACAACAGTATAATATGGCTTGAGGGACCGACCTATCTTAGACACTACTTTTTTTCGTTCACACAATTCCACTACATGCTTTTGCCGCCCTTTTTATGGCCGTTAGGATAAATCTAAAGAGGGAGGGAGGCGGTGGTCTAGAGAGACACCACGGAGGCAAATAGTCTAGAGAGAGGGAGAGGCGGATGAAGGAGAAACCTCTAGAGAGAGAGAGGGACAAATTAATAGTTTAACCATTCGCATCGTCAGTAGTGTCGTCAGTATTATAAGGGCAAAGAAAGGAGCAATCCGATGGCTGCTCTCTTCCAACGGACGGTGATGTCACCACTATGTGAATAAGGAAATATTATTCAGTCAATATACATTGTGCAGAGGCATTTTTTATGTTACTCTCATGCTATAAAATGGGTGTCATGTGGACTCATGGTAGCACCAAGGAAGTGAGCTACATTGAATTTCCCTGCACAGAGAGAGAGAGAGAGAGAGAGAGAGGAGGAGAGATGGCTTGTGAGGTGGAGGCTGCTTACATTCAGCCACCGGAGTGTCGGCCCGATCCGACGATCCCGGTTGCCGAGGGCATGCCCGTGATTGATCTCTCCCCGATGGATTCAGGCGATCCGGTGGCGATGGAGAAGCTCGCAGAAGAGGTGAGGGACGCCCTCAAAGAGTGGTGCATTTTCTATGTTGTGAACCATGGAATTCCTACAGACGTTCGAGAAAACATCGATAAAAATATATATGAGTTTTTCGGTCTCCCACTTGAGGAAAAATTGAAGGTGCAGAGGACCCTTGAGGATCCTCTGGGCTACGTCCCAACTGATCTAACTTGGAACACCAAAGACTGGATTGAGATCTACGAGTACTTCATGCACAGCCCCCTCGAGATCCCCGCAAATCCGGAGCCCGACTGCTCGGAAACAATTACCCTTAAGAACAAGCCGCCGGAGAACCCCCAGGGTTTCTTGTAATGAATCTCTCTCTCTCTCTCTCTCTCGCTCTCAAACGCTCGCACACACAACACTTGGTTACTGGATGCAGGCATGTATGTTGTGGTGAATGCGAAGTACGTAAAAGTCCACATACTATCGCATATCATATGTTTATTTTGAAATCCTATCGTTTCCTCAAACGCTGGTTGATAGCCGGTGCTCAACAACCCAACCGGTTTGAACGGGAATCGGCCACTTGGGTGGCCGGTTAGCGTGGTCAACCGGCTTGACCACCCTCAGTTAAAATAAAAAATAGAAAAAATAACATATATATATATAAAAATTACCACGAAGTTTTGGTTATTATATGGAGGAAAAAGTTTATATAAGGTTACAACCTTAAAATGTAGAACTACGGATACACCTCAAAAATCTATCGAAAGATGTTGTTTTAATATTGAAAAATACTCTAATTGATCATCTCGACATCGAGATATATGATTATGAAAAATAAAAAAAAATTTGAGTTATGAAAATAGTGCATCTTACAACACTTTATCTAGACCGTCTATTTTCAAGATCTCCATATGTTTATAGATCTGCTTAATTTTAACCATTTTTGGAGTTTAAAATGTTACAATTAGATATGAAAATAGATTTTGAGATAATCCTAAGAATATTTTACATCAAAATTATATGCTATAATAAAATTTGGAGGTGCACCTTAATTGGATTGTTTAAGGTTGCAACCTTATGGAAACCACACCCTTATATGTATATCCATTTTTTAGCTTCATAACATTAAAATAATAATAATAATAATAATAATAATCATAATAATCATAATAATAATAATGGAACGGCCCTTTTTGGTTTTTGAAAAATCAAAATCTTTAAACGTTTCCAGTTTTCAAAAACCGAAAATTAGATATTTTTGGTTTCTCAAAAAACCGAAAACTATCTTTCATTTTCCAGTATCTTACAGGAAAATTTACTAGAAAGAGATAGATGTTCGATTTTTGAAAAACCAAAAATGTCGTATTTTCATTTTTTCAAACACCAAAATTGGATATTTTTAATTTTTCAAAAACCAAAAACTATCTTTTGTTTTCCAGTATCTTACTGTAAAAGTTATTGGAAAGAGACATATTTTCGGTTTTTTGAAAAACCGAAACTGTCATTTGTATGGTCCTTCAAAGACCGAAAATTGGATATTTTAAGACTTTCAAAAACCAAAAATTGGATATTTTTTATATTTCAAAAACCAAAAATTATCTTTCATTTTCTAATAAAGAATTGGAAAATTTACAGGAAAGAGGCAGATTTTTTATTTTTGAAAAATTGAAAATGTTGTATTTTCAGTTTTTCAAAAACCAAAAATTGGTACTTACTGGAAAATTTACAGTAAAAAGACAGATTTTTTATTTTTTAAAAACTAAAAAAAGCTAATTTTCAATTTTTCAAAAATTGAAAAGGGCTGTTCTATCTTTTTTAAAAAAAATTTATGAAGTTGATAAAATGGGTATGCATGTACTAACGAGTACTTTTGTAATAACGCTAAATATAACGGATATATACGTTATTTTTTCTAAAAAATAGGAAACTTCACAGTAATTCTGTAATAACGCTAAATATAACCGATATATACATTATTTTCTCTAGAAATAAAAATAAAATAAAAAATTCCAAAATATAAAAAAATTGTTTGTAATAGGTCTTTTAATGTTTTCTATTGTTTTGAAAAAACTTAGGAAGTATTAGGGCCATAATACTTATTTTATATTTTTCCATTATTTTTAAATTACCCTTAGGCACAATTTGATTATTCAAAATCCAATTTTATTACTTTTTTAATCTCATGTGGTTATATTTGTTAAATTATACTCTAAACACATATTTTATATTTTTTGGGATTTTTTGAGATTTTATTTAATTTTCTTTAACCCTTTTTAACTGGATAAAGATTTGTTTGATTACAGCCCGTCCATCATACCCAGCCGAGGGCTGGGTTCTGAGGCCGGTTCGTACAATCGAACACTGGACAACAATGGACGGTAGAGAAACGGTGTTCCTCCATGTTATATATATCGGACTTGTTTTTGACATGTCCTTTGGTTGAGGATAGGGTTGGGAAACGGGTCAGTTCTACTACTGGAACCGATCGGTTTGGGTATGGACCTGACGCTCTAGATCTAGGTCAAGTAGACCTAAACTCAACTTGGGTTGCAGGTCCAACTTGGATCTTATTAGGTAGGGATGAGTTCAACCCGACCCGACCTAATCGATATATATTCTTTTATTTTTTGATCAAGAGATTTTGTAAACATTGGAACTTTTTTTACATGTTTTTTATTTTTATAGATTTTAGGAGTTAGCTAATGTCCCAAATATCAGATCAGTTATTTCAATGACAGTTCGATATTGAAAACATCGAACTATCCTATATTTTGTAGTTTTTCAAGTATACCTTATATGATGTTTCCAACATCACATCACTTTGTATATATATTGAGCCGATCCAATATCTCTAATATAAAATAAAATAAAAAGAAAAAAATTCCCCAAGAAGAAATTTTGATATCTTTCTTGTAAAAATAAATAAATAAATAAAAATTAAAAGAAAAAGATTGCTAATGAAGTAAAACTTACGGCAGGGACGCATGCATAGCATATGGAAAGGAGGCAGAGAAGTTGGCTCACAAGATACTGGAGTTGATCGCTTTGAGCTTGGGCTTGCCCGCCAAGAGGTTCGTGCCATTCTTCGAAGGAAAGAACATGACCTTCAACAGAATAAATTATTACAGGCCATGCCCTAACCCTGAGCTGGTGCTGGGAAAGGGCTGCCACACCGATACCAGCTCGGTCACTGTGGTTGCTACCAACGATGTGAGTGGGCTCGAGATCAAGACAAGAGAGGGCACCTTCCTCAAAGTCAACCCACTTCCTGGTTCTTATATCATCAACCTAGGAGAAGCCATGAATGTAATGTGTTTTTCTCTCAAATCTCTTTCTCTATTTTAGCTCTTTCCTTAAAGAAAATGACCAAAATGTTGTTTTTCTAACGTGGCCCAATTGTCACTCTTGTTTTTTTGGGTAAGTAAGTGGGGATGATAAGCCCTTATTCGTTTTTGAAATAGTCAGTTTTCAAATACTTTAGTGAGATTGAACGCTGACAAAATTATGTCTCTCTCTCTAAAAAAGCATGAAAACCTGTCTGTTTTGCCTTCCTTTTTTCTCTCTATCTTAAGAAATGCGATGGGGACAATTTTTTCAAGGTTGGCCCCATTTAGTTGATTACCAAACAAATGGCCAATAAAACCCATCTCAATTTTGTGATTTCTCTATCGCACAGTAAATAAAAAAATGAGTGTGATTCATTTTTAAACAATCAGGCATACCTTTATATCTCGGTAAAAGGTATAGCTTTGGTGCCAGAAACTCAACTTAGAAATTTATTTCCAACCAAATAATAAAATTTAAGATATCTATAAACACTTAAAACATTTTAAAAGTAAACGGTATAGATAATGTGACATAATATATATTCGAACTTGAAATTCTCTTTTTTGCTGTACTCATGCACGTTGAGGTGGAAACAATCAGTTCTACAGTTTTTTGACCTTGGAGGAATCACTTACGATGAGGTGGAAACGATCAGTTGTACATTTCTTTGACCGGAAGAATCATTTAGAGTGGACTTCTGCGGTGCACCTTATTTATTTGGGAAAATCCCTCATGACTTCACTTTCTTTACGTTCTCCCCCACACCACCCATTTTTTTGATGGGAACTTTTATGTCAAAAGTTAATTTTATAGCAAAGATTTTTCAAGTCAAGAAGTCATAATTTGGATGAAAAAAATACCATGGCCTGTATATGAAGCCATCACATTCTTACAACGCTCGCTCACTAAATGCATTTCGGCACATAGGCCGAGCAGTCTGGCACATAGGCCAAGCAGTCTGGCAGCAGTGGCCGGTCTGACATTGGTATTTTTGTTATCAAACTATAAACTTTTTTTTACTTTGGGTCGTTCTTAATGTTGCAATAAAAAAAGTGGTTGGGAAAAATGCAAAGAAAGTTGAGTTACGGGGGGCTTCTTGTAGTTTTTCCTATTTATTTATGCAATATAAATTAACGCCTTATATAAATGCTTTTTCATAAAAAAATAAGGGAAGGGTTTCTACACTTCCCCTAAAGCATAGAAGTTTTATCATTCTCCTATCATCCAGCCGTCCAATTTTGATCAAGAGAGCTACTCACCATTTGATCTTAGATCCGACGTCTTAAAGTATTTTATTTTTAGTTTTTTTTTTTTATACAAATTGTATGAATATGAAATTTGTTACGTACAATCTTCTCATTGGGGGGCACCTATAAAAAATATTAAAAATAATTTTTCGATAAAATATAATGACCAAAATACCTCTTGAAAATTTCAGGGGTATTTTGATCATTTTATTTTATTGAAAATATTTTTTTTCTAGTGCAAGTTTAATAGAGGAATGGACATCCAAAATTTGGTGTCAAAATAGTTTATAAAAAAAAAATTAAAAATAAAATGGTGTAGAGACATGGCATTGTGATTGGGACAATCTTAACCCTCCATTCAGAATGGACGGATGGATAAAGAGAAGTATATAAGTTTTATGCCGTAGGAGAAGCATAGAAAGCTTGCCCAAAAAATAATACCCATAAACTTTCTTCTACAAAAATACCATGGCTTAATCTCTCCAACTCTTTCATCATGGAAACCTTGCAGGTGTGGAGCAATGGCTACTACGAGAGCTCGGACCATAGGGCAGTGGCGCCCAAGGATAGGCACAGGTTCTCAATGGCCTTCTCTTTGGGACCTGCACCAGATATGATGGTCGAGCCTTTGGAAGAGCTCATTAACGAGGACCACCCCCGCAGGTTCACAGGCTTCAAATACGGCAAATTTTGGAGGTCCAGGAGGCACACCAGTTTACTTAGGCTCAAGGAACAGAACATCCGAGCTCGTCACTTCAAAATCAGAGAATAGGGACCACCCAAATCTCTCTCTCTCTCTCTCTCTCTAAAAAATAAGGGCAATATCTCTGTTCCCCAGTTACATTTTTTGCATCTTGTCTGTGTGTGTTAAGGGACCACTGGTTCTTAGTTTTTTGTGCTGCCATGGATATCTTAGCTTTGAGGATAGTAGCGTCTTTTGTAAATTCATGGATATCTTGGACAGAGGTTTGAAGGATAAGTATTAGTATGATAATGAATAAATAAAAGGTGTGGTTTTTACAAGGCTAAGGCCCTAAATGGTCACACCTGAGGTTTAAAATTCTTGAATGAGGCGCTATAGATATGTTAATTTATTTTATATTAGTTTCAAAACTATTTTTTTTGTTTCTTTTTATTGATGGTCCACTTTGTTTTTGTCGTGCCTTTGGACCACCACCTTTTCACCCATACACATCACTTTCCTCTTACCTCTGCATTTGTTGTCCCGTTTCTTGTAACTTAGCACCCCTCTCTTTCTCCACGTACCCTCTCTTTTTGACCAAAACTTAAAAACAAGAAAACAAAAACAAAAAAAACAAAAAGAAAAAAAAAAAAAAAGCTCACCATGTTTCAAGATGAGCTTTAAAAAAATATTTATCCTATGTAAAGGGCTCTGTATGAGAGAGAGAGAAAAGTAGATGTACAGAAGAAAGGCACGAGGCTTTAACATAGAAACAGGGAACTCATGGGAAAGAGAGGCGTGAGGCTTCAAGGAAAACAGTGACCTCATGATAAAAACTAGGGAAGTTCTTAGTGTTGAAGGTGAAGCATTAACAGTGTTAGTAAACTCATAGGAGAAAACTAAGGAGTTCATAGTATTTTGAGATAACGCATAAAAGAGAAATATATATTTTGAAAATAGGAGAGGTATTTTTCGGATATTTTGATTCTATGTACTATCAAACTGAGCTCCAGTGTCCATAACGAATTTAGCAGTGACATCAATATGTTTTTACAATGATTTTAAGTGAGTTTCTAAGCATGCAACTCAGTAACTCAATAAGATTTTGATCTGGTTGTATCTTAAGGGTGGTTCACCAAAGCCCCAATTGTATCTCGGAATTGTACCAAATAGGAGGTGATCAACACTTTGAAGAAAGCGAGATCTTCTCATACCTCTAGATCCTGGACATCCGCTATCACTGAGTATAACCTTTGAAACCTAAGTCAATTCCTATAGGAATTCAACAGGCACCAAGAGCATTTTTAGTGGCAGATATAATATCTAAAACCTGTTCTAATTCCTACATGAATCTGACTTGGTACTAGGAGTGTTTGTTTTTTTTTTTTTTTTTTTTTTTCTGACAATAATCCTGGATAAGGGGAGGTGCTGCCGAATTTTTGGGATTAGGTGACAGTGAAATCTATATAAAGTCTAACTTTTCCGCAAAGTTCAATAATTTTAAAATTTAAGTTTCTGCTAATGAGATATTTTTTTCTACCGGCATCTTTTTTTCTATATTTAACTTCTAGATCTTCATATAGTTCTTTTATAATTGGCATTCCTAAGTAAAGATAAAACAAATGATCACTTAGAGCGTTCAAGATATATCATTTACGTATATAATAATTTTTGTCCCATGTTTTAATTTTTTTTGTATTCCAAGGGTGCAACTTATGCAAAGGGACGTGGCTTCCAAGGCATATATTTCATTTTTAACGTCCTCAGCAAGAATAAAACATTTGACTGTCATCTTCTAAAATTAATTCCATCAAAACTTTTCAGCCTTAAAAAATCCTGGATCATTATTTTTAGCGAGTTTCCAGTGGCCATCTCGTGGATTAATGCTCAACACTTCGAAAATGTTAGAGTTTATATGAATTTCACTATCACCCTAATCCCAAAATTCGGCAGCATTTAAAGCCCATCTTGGTTGAAGGCATTGGATCAATTTTAGAAAGGCCTAGCACTCATCTTAATGATTCAATTTGCCTAGATGACGTAAGGCTTAGGAAGAGATGTTGCATTACAAAATATCCTCCATGGACTCACCTATATGAGTGTGAACGTGGAAGCTGCTTCCCATGAAAATTGGGCATTCCCTAAAGTGCAAGAAAACAAGGTAAGGGCACAGGGTCTTAAATGTGCAAGCTTTTTAGAAAATCACAACCTTTGAAAAGAAATATGTAGTATCCGGGAAGCTTATCAATAACAGACATAGTTCAAAGTTCATCCACTCACTGTCATGATAAGTATTATGTATAACACTATATGGAGGTTCTAGTCAGTAGCACACAATGTTTGTAAAATTGAATCGGAACGGTTAACCGGACATGGGCTTGGAAGCGATTTAACCGGTAAACAAGCCAATTCAACTGCTCTAATTGAGCAGGTCCTGAGCGGTCAAAAAAGTGTTAAATAAAAAAATTACAAAAAAAAATCTACTAAAATATGAAAAACATATAAAGGATTATTAAAATAAAACACATTCAAATGAAGTTGAAAATTAATGAAAAAAATGGATTTTAACCCATTTTATATTTTCTAATGGCTATTTTTAAAATTTTCAAAAAAAAATAGGAAAATATAAAAAGTGAGTATTAATGACCAAAACAATTGTTAATCTTCACCCTAATATAAAGAATATTTAAAAATGCATTAAAAATCAATTTTTTTATTTTTAAGAATTTATATATTTTTTTTATTTTATTTTTTAAATACCAGTTGATCACCTTCACTACCCAAAACCGAAACTGGCCATGGTTCCGATCCAACCGAGCAATTAGCGGTTAGATCGGACAATTTTGCGAACAATGCTAGCACAACTGCACTTACGTATTTCTTTCTTGATCTCACTCTTTTCCCTTTCCTCTCACTCTGTTTCCTTTCCTTCTGAAAAAGTAATGAAAATGGTGAGAGATTGTTAATTTATTCTAAAATATTGGTTTCAAAATTACTATCTTGTTTATTTTTTATTGATGGTCCACTTTGCTTTTGCGGTGCCTTTGCAGCACCACCTTTTAACCTCTTTTCTTTTTAAGTCTATCTTCAGTATATTTTAATGTCGTTGTTTCATGCTTGCATCACCATTGCTACGTCATGTTTTTTTAAGAGAGAACGATGAATTAGTTAGAGAGAGAAAGGGTGCGACAAACGGAGTAGTTAGAAAGAGAAAGGACACGGTAAGAAAGAGGAATTAGAGAGAGAAAGAGCAAAGTTAGAGAAAGACGAGTTAGGGAGTGAATCGAGTTACAGAGAGGAAGGAAATGGCTACAGAAAGAGGAATTCGAAAGAGGGAGGAGTTAGGCATGTCAAGTTCTCACCGAGTTTACTTTCAAATGTCAAAAGCAAATATTGTGTTTTCCAATAATAAATGAACTTAAATTTGATCCTCAAAGAAAAAGCATAGTTTTAAGAAAAATTAAATAGGATCTTGAAAAAATCAAATATATATTATAATGATTTAGTTTTTTTTTAAAAAATACATACCCTAACAACTGTGGGGAGATTTACATGGATATAAATTAATATAAAACAAAAGAAGCGCCAAAAAAAAGCTTTTACAACCTGAGAATAGAATGAAATTGGATTCACAAACATGCGGGCAAAAGGTGAAAATATAGCATTTGGATTCCATCCAGATGCTCTCCGATCTAGAATCGATTATTTATCTCCCAAAATTTTAAACCTGGAATTTGAATCAAATATCGAATTGAGATTTCCAAATAGTCAAGTGGGCCCTTAATCTGATTGTGGACCTCTATCTTTAAAGCCTTTAAAATTTCCCAAGAAGTCTCCTGGAACATATTAAATGGGCCTCTGAGTTTTCATTATTTTCTCAATTTTGTGAATTTTTTTTTTTTTTTTTTCAAGTTTAGTGGTGGGGTTCATTCTTTGGGACGTAATGTTGCAATTATTGACAATTTAAACAGCTCTAATAAATATAGACTGCAATTGCCATTTATATTCATATAAAGGCCTCAATATCAGGGTGATCCAAACCGCCACCAGTAAGATCAATGGTTACGATTCTTTTAAAAGAGCAAAAGGGAATCAAAACAATGAATTATTTTATAAAAAGAAAAAAAAATAAGAAATTGGCCATCCTTGTTGGCCAGTCATGCAATCAAAGCATGCACATCTAACATGGCCAAAATCAGTTAAGCAACATTTTTGACTAATTTTTTACCAAATCTAGTTTTTAGGTCCAAACCATCCAAGGCGCAGGTTGTATGGCCAACCCATCTGGTACAGTTTTGACCGGTTCGGATGAATATGTTCCGTAAAAAAATAAGAAAAATCAAAATAATAGTGTTTACAGAAAGAGATAGATTATCTGATCCTAAGAGACCACACCCTTCTGTTGGTTCCACCGGTCAAACACCAACCTAATGGGCTTTGATGGACCTGAAATTTTGAAATTATTATACTAACACCCAGATCAATTTATTTTGGAAAACTTGTCAAATTACCCATAAAAGATGATAATTTAACACTTTACCCATATATTTTTATTTAATTTCAAAATTTCCATTAAAAAACACATGGTCTTGAGTTGGAATAGTTCAAAATGGATAAAATGTTGACTAGTTAATTGCTTACATGTATTTTGATAAATTTCCCTTCTTTTAAAGAAAACAAAATCTTTGGACATAAATCAAAATCTGCTAAACTGAGTCGCCCATTTTAGTGTTTGTCAAATCTCAACAATTTTGAATTCAAAATAGATGCTTTGATTACATGCATACTAAATCATCCCATCCATGAACCCTTGCATACTTCACACATGTATGCATACACATGAATGCATGCCTAAACACATACACATCCATGCATGTGTGCATACATATAACATAATTTACATAGCTTAGTATGCCGAGTATATGTGCATGCAAATGCGCATGCTCTAACTCAAACAAGCAACACAACCCTATGATCAAAAAAATACAAAGCAACACAACGCTATTTGCATTTCTCCTTAGGTATCATATTAGAAAACATGGAGCCATAAGGTATAATTGAAAAGAAAATGGAATTCTTGTGTTTCTTGTTCCTGGACTAAACATGATTATAAATGGAAGATAAATATTTTAGCAATTTGAGCTTCCTCGAAAATGAGTTACCAGCCATTCTGCCCACAGATTTCCACAAACTTTCCAGTTATTTGAAACAAAATCAACAGAATCATTTGAAATAGAGCTCAAGAAGCTTCTTCAGGGTGTCTATAATGCTTGTGAAGGGGTTAAGTGCAATGGGTGCCTTCAATTCAAGATCAGGAAATCGATTTGTCAGAGCTTCTTGCATACCTGACATCGACATCATCAAGGCCAATTGACCAGAAGACATAACTTCACAATCTTGGGGAGTATCTTTGATTTTGTTTGGATCATATCCGAAGTTTGCGAGGTAAGACTTATATCGCTCAATGAACTCAGGCCCTGGATCAGGAGTCCGTGAGTAGATCTGAAGGAACAAAATCCATTTGTTATCAAGTTTCATCCAAGGATGCATGAGCTCCAAGAAAAAATATCAACTTTCTGATGCCAAACTTCCACAAATAATAAATCAATGCATTTCCTTCGAATCCTAAAAATATTTCAAGCAAGATAACTTTGGTCCAAAAGGAGCTTTATGTGGAGAAATAATGAAAAAAAAATTGAACTTTACATGCTAGACATGACAACATATGAAAGTTAAGATAACACAGGCGAAAAGCTTTCCTTGTGAAAAGAACGCTTGTCTTCTAAGGCAAAACAGTGGTCTGCATTCTTTTTAGTAACAATCAGCTTTTGTCAATGTTGCCATATCATACTGCTGTTATCCACCATCATGAAATGGTTACCATGAAATTTGATTTACTTAATCTTGCCACTTTCAGAAGAAGAAAAAAAAGCAAGCAAAAGTACTAAAAAGAGATATAACTTCATACTATTTACGACTTGATATCACCTACCAAGTGAATACCTTGTAAAAGACGAAACAGAACACAGAGATAGAATGATTATGCTCAGAGTTATTTCACTGCAAATATTTCCGACTGTAAAATTTTCAATAGGGAAGCACAAGTCATCCTTGATTTCCAGTGAGTTCTTGAAAGTCTTCCTAGTAGTTTTAATGGAAGATGCTAGTATTCAATGGCCAGTAACTTTAGAGACTTCAACAAAATGCTTTACTACAGTGTCAAACAAAGTTGCCCACTTAAGATTCCCATAAAAGAAATACTCAGGGCCATGCATGAAAAAGCTAGCTCTGATATAGAAAAATGAAAGTGCATAAGCATTTTCTCATGTGTGATTGAGCGACTGTCGCCTTATGGACGGTCTTTTGTCATTTTGATTGCTAAAAGAAGAATCAGATACATATGCACTGACAATAAGCGATAGCAAACTACATCTATACTATAGCCTGCACATCTCACATTATGCTTGAATGGAGTTCCAACTCTTCATTATCCATGAGACCAATCTATGACAAAATTCCTTTAAAAATGTATGATAATTTGCAACAGTCAACCATAACATGCCACTTTTAACTCCCAAACTAGTTGTACAAAGTTCATATGAATCGTGGCTGAAGATGAATCTGCAAGCAATTAGCTATATCATACATCATTAGAACAGCAAACCAGAGTCTTGCTCCTTGTTGAGCAAGGCACATGGTAATTGGAATGCGTCTGTTTGGGCCAAGTATAGCAAGTGGGGCTTGTCTTTTAAAACAACTTTTTTCTTCTAAAAACAAAAAAAAATTCTTCTAAAAAAAAACAGCAAACCAGAGTATGAGGAATGAGTGAAATTGGAGTCAAAAGGACTGTCCATCAAATTAAAACTCAGTCTCTGTTAGAAAGACGCATTGAGATATCGAACTGACATGAGCCTCGCCCAACTTAAGTCATGTCACAGATTTTAGGCAGCAGACGAAAATTCCTTGGACGACTTAATTACTTCATTTTGAGCTTCTTTCAAGAAAGAAACCATCCATCCTAGCTTAGGGTGCTTTGATCATTGAGAAAGCCATGCAAATTAGACATGTATCTCCATGGTTTAAGCACATGTTGCTTCTCACACTTTCAAAACTTGGACAATTCTGCATAAGCTTTTTTTTCAAACATCACCATGCCAGTACTTAAATCTCACTCAACTCCCTTTAAATTCTGTATGGATATGTCATGTCTACAACGTCAACTTTGGGGTTGGATTTTTTTGTTTCTGACAATCATATCTGCATCATAAACTGTCGGGTATATGTTTGCCTTTGTAGACATGGTTAGAAAGTAAACGTAAGAAGAAAAAGAAGTTTTCTGTAGAAAAATTTACACCAATGAAAAGAGAACAAAAAAAAAATCAATCCCTGAAACTTTTTTTGTTAACCTTTTCTCAGGAGTAAAAACGTTTTCTAACAAAGTCTCGTGATACTCCCCCAGTCTTATATAACTTACGAGACTCAAAAAAGTCTTGTCTCAAACTCAATGAGTCTTCCAAGACTTCAAAAAACTGTTCATTTCCTGGCTTTGGCAATGGATGAGGAACTAAACCCTATACTACGGTAATTAATTCGAGTGTCTATTTTTGCCCAATCTTAACAATATTTCTTTGGGTTCTTATTTTCTTTTTTATTTAATTTATAAAATTAATTTTCACACGAAGACAGGAAGACTGAGTCCGAAGTCCATAACCACCTTTATAATGGGGCCCTGAAGCAAGTCGTAAGAGTCCAAGCCATTGTACTCTGCTAGTTATTTCCATGAGGCGTTTGGAAAATTGAAAAACCCTAATATATCATATCCTTTTGAAAGTTGAAATATTAATCTTACTCTTGAGACTTGAAATGTTAATCCATCAAATCCAATATTGAAATTTGAAACGTGCCAACAGTGCCAAATACCCCATTCATGTCCTGCAATGGATCAATCAATAACCATAATGGTTTCTACAAGTGGACATGATATAAGTCATATAAAGTTCATGCTACCACACACACACACAGAGAAGCATGCACACACGCAAGCATGTTCAGGCACACACAGAGAACATAGAGGCTTGAGAAATTCCCTAGGACCCATTTGGTTTCATCCAAGGGAATTTCTCAAGCCCCTATGTTCGACGAGGATGAAATTGTAATCCCTTCGGGGTAAAGCATGAACAATGTTTTCTCTATCTTCTAAAATTCTTTCAGCTCATATGTCTCAAAGGCCAAAACACAAGTGCCAAAAGAATCAACCAGGTCAGTCATGATCTGTTCAATGTGTGATGCAAGATCAGATAGACAATTTATAAATCATGCCAACTTCCCTCTTGCCTTGAAAACCAGAACGAAACTTTCAATTGTTCAGTTCAATCTTTGTTCCTCATTGTTATACAATTTGTGTTTGTGTTATTGTTCATCTGAAAGCAACATTGCACATCTCTAAAAATCTGTGTCATTTGATCTACAATCCTGAGAAACATGAAGAATTTCAATCTCCCCTTGTATCTTTTCAGTGTACATGCAGAGAATATTTTCAGGTGTTTTCTCTTCTTCTAAAATGTCTACCATTTAGTACAAGTTAAAGGTTGTGTCCATGAAGTCAAAATTTTTAGGAAGCCAATGAAGCATATAATCTTCCAATGGGAGAAAAGTAGACAACTTCAAATCAGGTATCTCACGAAATGCGCTTGCTTCCACAACCCAGAACCTTAGGACCTCTGTCTACTTTCTCAATCCAGCAAATCATGCATTCCATCTATTTTCCGGAAGTATGAGTAACAAGAGTACATATCAGATCTCTACTGCATAATATCATCCCATGTTGTAGGATTCCTTTTTGTGGGACTAAGGTCAACAACCTGAAATATCTATATGCGGCAGGCAACCATTTTCCAAAGCTCGATATGGATCAATGAGGCTCAACATGAAGGGGCCAAAATAAATTCTCATATAAAGTAGACATTTGCTAGATATAAGGACCACAAAACAGGCAAGCCTCTAGCCTGCAGCATACCAATAATGTCAATTATGCTGCCCATCTTGCTAGCATCTGCCACATAGAAGAGTGACCGAGAATGGTAATAATCAATATGGGAAGTCATTATACACAAGGTACAAAGGGTAATGTAATCGATATCTGACATCCCATTGGATTGAAAAGGAGTTGCTAGTCATTGTCTTACTTTACTGAGAACATTAGCACTTGGTATAAAAAGTTATAAACACGGTGTAATTGAAAAGGAGCTACCACATAGACAAAGTAATCCATATTGAGGATTTCTTTTTTGCATTTAGCTTCTCCAAACTGCCTTAAGTGCAAAAGAGCACAAATTCTCAAGCCAAAAGAACAAAAGAGAAGTGAAACAAGCAAATCATTCAAGCCAAAGGAAACATTGACCTGAATAAAACTTCTGTCTTTTGCCCCAGATACGAGAGCAAAATTGTCATAGTCCGTAGCAATCACATCATATGGCTCCTTGGGAATAAATGGCAAAGTAGGAAATCGAAGGTAACACTTCTCTCTGATCATAACTTGTCTCTCCAGATCAGTTTCATTTTTCTCCAAATCTTCCTCAGCAAGGCACTGAACCCTTCCCCTTATACCAGTAATATATCCATCAGGGCCACCGTGCACACAAAATGTATCAACTTGGATTGAAGGGGTCTGAGCATCAAATGAATATACTCCCTGACAAACAAACAACACCAAAAGTTGTAATTTCATTGCCTAGGGAATCTGCAGTGGTCCTGAATGCACTGCACTTAAAGACAATGACACCACAGAGAGAGAGAGAGACCTTGTTCCTGGGGTTACCTGTGTACAATGGCAGTCTTCTTGTCCCTGGCCTGCAAATCCACGTTTAAGTGATGCTACTTCATACCACCTTCCGGAATATCGAATTGGATCGAAATTTTTAGCAGTCATTCCTCTCATCATTAGATTCCCAATTTCTCCATTTGTTTCCTCGTCAAGTTTAAGAGATGCCCCACTCCCCATCGCAGAGGCAAGCTGGCATAAATTATTCTTTTGAGGTGATTCTTCAGCGATGACCTGGACATGACAAATGAGAATGTCTTAAAACTGGCACAACCGTAAACCTTTCAAACATTATTGTTTGATCCTCTCCTGCTATAACTGCTTGTCTTGAGCTCTCTCTTATCTTCTGAATCCTGCAAGAAAAGTTTGTTCTCAGATATGACTCTCCTTCACCCTTCTTTGTCTGGACTTAAATCAATGTCGGATTGGGTCCTAGCACATTATGAAAATTATGGTAACCAAAAATTGTTCATTCAAATTTGTAATGTGTCATTCCTCTAAACAAAACAGCACTCATTACAATACGTCATGAATTTTCCTTGAGAACAAATTAAAACATGTAACATGACATACCCAATTGGATGGGGTTAGAACCATTACTGAAGCCACAAGGCCAGTGAAAAACTTTGGGGTAAAAGCCTCTCTGAAACATTGTATCCTCTCCAGTGAACAAGTCAATGTTCTTTTCAGAGGCACAAGATGTGTTGCCCTATAAAGTATAAAACAAATGACATAAGTGCTAGGAATATATGCATCTACCAATCAAGAAAGGAGTGGGGCAATAATTAAATTCCCCTTAGATATATCTATGATAAAATACAGCTTTTTTAGATGATTTGTTAAATATCCAGAACTCAAATCATGTTAAACCATGTTTTACTTAAGGCATGAAGCAATTTGGGGAAAAGAGAAAACAAATTTTATCAAAATGCACCTAACTTTTCCACAATTTTATGGTTTAACTTCTTTCAACTATTCCAAATCATGATCACGTGTATTTTGATGGGTATTTTGAAATTACATTGATATCTTGTCAGTATTGTGATAAATTTTCGCAAAAAAAAAGATCAGGTCACTGGCATTCTCTATTTCGAAAATATCTAAATATTCTGTAACTCTGGATTTTCTAATTGTATTATTGCATTAGAGATTACCAGTTTTATGTACAAACAAACGAGCAGGATTATAATGGCATGTCAAATGATTCAAAGATTCAAGTGTCTGTAGCAATGCATAAAATATATAACGCAACATAACTGCTCCTTTAACAATCCCCATCATTACCATGGGGCATAACCTTCCTAAACAAAGTGAAAATAAAATCACAACAAAATCAAAATATAAGAACCCACATTTCTTTTTCTTCTTCTTTTTCTCCTTTGAAATGCACGGTTTTCTCGGCATTGAGTAAGCATCTATGTCAATGGACAAACATCAATTTTCAGAAAAAGTACAATTAATTTTCTTGCCCAAAGAAAAATACAATTAATTTCATTAAAAAATCCATCAGCATATCCAGAACTCTTGAAGCTCAAATTTATCGACAAGATATAAGAGCAAATTCTTCATTTAATAGTCAAAACGCCAATGTTGCGCCAATCAAGCATTTTCAAGACCACACTACACAGTGAATGAATCAATCAAGCAACAAAAAGATAAATCAACAAAAACATAGATTTTGATCAATTACTGTAACACTCAAATGTCATAAAATGGAAGATTTAAAAGTGAAAAAGAAACCAAAAAATCAAATTCCCAAAGAAAAAAAAAAAAGAGGAAAGGAAAGATCTAACCTTGGCAGGCATTGTGAGGACGGAAGAAGGAGGGGAGAATTATGCAGAATCATTATTGATATATTTAAAAATAATAATTGCTAATTTAAATTTTTCTTAAATCTCCTGTCCAAATGAACTCAAAGCAGATCAGAACTCAGGCGAAAAGAAAAGCTATCCAGGAAGTACCTAAACGCCACAGAAACCTTAGAATTTATCGTTACTACACGGACATGGATACATGATTTTTCGCTCTTTCCATTTCGTCTTTCTAAAGCCAAAACATTGTATGCTCCTGCGGGAGCATGTCCTCTATTCTGCACTCCAGGTAAGATCGCATGTAGAAATATTCTTCACGAAGATCCGCCAAGGCCGAGGATTCATTGGTCTGTCATTCTTTACTGTAAAATAAACTTATCTAAACGAAAAGACCAAATCCAGCGTTTTAAAAATCGCCGAGTCGAACCGGACTCGCCCGGTTCGACTCGGAATT